TAATTTACAATCAGCTCTGCTATTTACAAGCTACTTCATGACCACCTACCTCTCTCCTGTCAGATTTTTGGATACATATGTACACATATTTCTTCTTCATCTATTAAGCTGTACCATTCCACCACCCAAATGAATACTTTTCTCATACCATCTGTGTATCTTTGATGTCCGCATCTCAAATTTTAATGTACATTTAAATCATTCAGGAATCTTGTTAAAAGTGGATTCTAATTACAGGCTGAGTCTGGAATGCTGCATTACTAACCAGCTCCAGGTGCTGCTGACCTGAGAGCCACACTGAGTATCAAGAATTTAGAGCACTCTGTGCCTTCTCTCGTATTTCCACCCACATGTAACTACCCGCCTATGTACCTTCAATCTCTACCTCTTTATTACTCTACTGGTACCTCTTTCTTTTTTTACATAGTTTATAAAATTTAAATTAGTTTTATTGGTACATTCTAGATATATGCAATGATCACATTCATCATAGGGAATTTCTACTGTATATAGCATATCATGATTCTTTTTTCCCAATTCCCTCCCTTCCTTTAACTTCTCTTCCCCTCATTTGCAAAAGCTTTGTTTCTACTTTTTTTCTTCTATTTTCTTTTCCTTTCCTTCCCTAACCCTTCCCCCTTCCTTGTTTCCCTTCGCATTTGAACATTTTCTTCCTATCTCCCAATATCTATCATACATTTTGGTCTTTATTTACCCTTTGAGTTTCTCACACCAGAGAAACAATACAATATTTACACATGTGTCGGATTTATTTCACTTGCAAGTATGGACTCAAGCTGACTCCATTTACCTATAAATGTCTCAAGTTTATTCTTGTTTATGGCAGAGTAGTAATCCATTGCATATATATTTTTAAAAACACACATATCTTTTTCTCTCCAAGTACCTGTTGATGGGCATTTGGGCTGTTTCCAAGATTTAGCTATTGCAAATTATACTGCTATAAACATGGGTGTACATACATCACTGTGGTATAATGTTTTTAGTTCTTTCAAGAAGATACCAAGAAGGGGAACAGCTGGGTCAAATGGAACCTGTAGTTTTAGCTTTTTGTGGAATCTCCACACTGATTTCCACAGTGGTTGCACAAGTCTACGCCCCCACCAACAGTGGAGAAGGGTTCCTTTTCCTTCCAGCAGACTTAGCGTTTCTGTTTTAATACTTAGATCTTTGATCCATTTTGATTTCAGTTTAGTGCATGGTGAGAGAGAGATGGGTCTAGGTTTAATCTTTAGCACATGGACAGCAAATTCTTCCAGCATGCTGGTGTCTCTTTCCATGTCACTATGTTCTCCTCTATTCTGACCAACTATGCATTCATCATTTTTCTTTTAGCATTGAATAATGCCACTGTTTTCCTCACTTTTTTCTTGTCTAGCAGTTTAATTTAACAAAACTCCTTTTGCTAATTCAGTTGGTCTCAATTTTACATTAAGAAAATAAGTTGATGAAATCAAGCTACACTGAGGTGTTAGTTGCTAAGAGCCAACTTATGTTTCCTTGGGGTTTTTGTCCATTGAATCTCTCAGAAAAGAAGTTTGGTGTAAAAAGATTTTCTTTAATTTACATCAAGGATGTCACCATGCAAGACCAGGCTTATGGACGGAGAGGAAGATACAAGAAAAGCACGATCTTCAAATATCTCAGAATGTTCCCTGATACAGGAAGGAATTACTCTTTTTCTCAAATTTCTCCTCTTTAATCACTTTTTGGGGGTTGAGTCTTCAAAATCCTATTCATTTATAAGAGGCACGGAGGATTATAAAGATTACATTTTATAGACTCAAAACTGGGACACAGTTATAATGACATAGAATATATGAAAATGTACTTGCCCGGAAAATTCTGTTTATAATGTGAACACTGTATAAAGTTCAGTTCTAGCATTTATATTATTTGTGAATTCTTAAGTTATCCAATCTTTTTAAATTTTGGTTTGTTTCACACCAAGTAGACATAAAATCTATTTCAAAGAGTGATTACAAGAACACTCCCAAATGTCCATAAAATATGACATTCCTTCATCCTTTTCAAGTACTACTGCATTATATCTTCACAACAATTTATATACTTCACAAAAATCTATGTGTACTATTTTTACTATAACTGCATAGATAAGAAAACAAAAATGATCAATAATTTACATAAGGTCACACAATTATTATATTGCAGAGCTGATATGCACTCAGGAAATCTGACTCCAGAGCTTACAACTTTTAGTATACATGCTGCCAAAGCAAGCATAAGCTTGCAATTTTTAACTATAGCACTGTTCTCTTCTAAACAAAGTATATCATATAATTTTTGAACCCAATTGCAATGACCAGTGGTTTTAGGCCTGGTGAGTACAAGCATATGAAAAGTGTGAAAGCAGAGCTTACAACCAATTTACCTTTGTGCCCTTACCTTATCCCATCCTAGGGAATGCAATTTGGTAGTGACTTTGGTATGTTTTAGGTAAGTAAATTTAAAAAAAGAATTCTGCAGTTAAAGAATTAAATAGTTTTGAATGAAGAAATACGGATCCCAGTCACTCAAAGAGTCATTAAGGACACAGAGTTTAATTTAAAAAGTGAATGGCCAAAATTTCCAAGCAAATTCTTCTATTCAAACTTCTTCATTATAACTCAGACCTCGCAAATCTTGAACTCCCCGATAAGATTCTATTTCAAACTTAGGAAGTCCATGATTCACTCTAATTATTCCTTAAAAGCATATAGCACATTATAATAAAATATTTGATCTTGGCCTTATTCTGTCTTATTATTCTAGAAAAATAGAAGAGGATATGAAAGAATTGACATTTCCTTTTTACATAGTTCTAAAAATATACTAGGATAATACCATGCAAAAGCAACAAAAAGTGTCCTGTCATCAAATCCTGTCTTAGGCCTATAGAGCCCAATGTGTCTCCAAAAGAACAATGCTTAGCACTACAATGGTGTTTCTCACAAGAATTCAATTTGTCATCGTTCTGTCATTCACCTGAACATGGTGTGGTGGTGTAGTGACATTTATCTCAACCTGCAAATAGTATGGAGAGTCACAAGTGACCAATCCATGAATACAGTTAGATTTTGTAATGTGGGTTACAAAATTAGAAATTAAAATAAATATTCAACTTCCCATAATTAGAGCTGGTCAATTAAGCCTCTAATTTCTGATCAAAAAAACTCAGTCTAAAGACTCAGAAATAGCTATTGTACCTGGAAAAAAGAGAGATTAACATATGTGATACAATTACACTTGTCTTCTGTTTCCAGAATTATCTGTTTCCCAAGAGGTAGATTTTTCAATATGTCTACATTAGTCATGCTGTAGGCACACCTGAAATATTTGATGATTCATAGTTGTCTATTCATACTGAATAATTCGGGACTAAAACTGATTAGAAGCAAAGCAAAAGGGGAGGCTTCCCTTACAATACTTAAGACTTTTACATAGCCAAGTAAGGTGAGAATGGCAAAATTAGAATAGAGTGGAAAATCCAGAAATAGTTACACATTTTTGAAGATATAACTTCATATATAGCAGTGGGGGGAAAAGTACAATAGCAGTGTGGGGAAAAAACTTCAACAAGTCTTGATGGGAAAACAGGTTGTTTCTATCAAGAAAAACAGAAATAGATCCCTAACTTACAAACAAGGTTAAATTTAAGACTAGATAATTTGAAGACAAACATGTAAAGAATTAAATTATAAGATTAATGGGCAAAGTTTTAATATCCATAATGTAGGTAGAGCTTAATAGAAACCAAACTAAATAGAAAAAATGAGCAAAGGAAAGCAGTTTACAGGAAAGGAAACATGAATGGAAGACATGAATATGATGAGATGCTCTTAGGTTTACTTATAATTAGAAAAATGAAAATTAAAACAGCAAGATACTGCCTTATATTAATCACAAAAAAATTGGCAGTTGAGAGTAGTAACAGAGGAAATTTTGTGTTGTGTTGAGAGGAATATAAAATAGTACAATCAGTTTGGAGAGAAACTGGTTGCATGTGGAGAAATTAAAAAGGGTTTTAGACAATTCTGATCCTAGGACTAACCAAAAGAAAACTTTCAAAGGTATATAAGATATATATAGATATATCTATGTATCTATCTATCTATATATGAATGATATATATTATATAAGATATATATTATATAGATATATACTATAGCTATTATATGTGTGTATGTGTGTGTGTGTGTGTGTGTGTATTACATGTCCGCACTAGGGTAGGGGTCATGAGTCCACTGCCTTTAAATGTGGTCTTCCATTATTTCAATTGCTATTTCTTGCTCTCAGGTAACATATCAACTTATACATTTTCCTTTTTGGTCCCAATGATCTTTCATCTTTACAACAACTAGAAATCTACTTCATTATCATTTAAAAATTTGTATTTTTGTATAAATACCAAATAGTTTCTCTAGTGTGAAAAACTATAATAGTACGTAAGAGCCTAATGATAGAACTGACCATGTTAAATAGGAAGAAAAGGGCTAAAGGTGTAGGGAAAATGGGAAGGGTAGGGGAAAGGTAATAAAGGAAAAGGAAAAAAATGAGAAAATGAAAAAATGGAAATAAAGTGTTTGTAAATGGGGAGGGGAGAAGGGGGTGAAGGCAGGGCATGGACAAGGGGAAAAAAATGAGAACCAAGACCTGTCATGTAAAGGTACAAGATCCCAATAATGAACGTAATTGTACTGTATACCTTAAACTCAATTAATTAATTAAAAAAAATGTATTTCTTCCAGCTACCGGGGGAGGAGCCACTGCATGCAGATACAATTAAACTTGTATTCTGTTTCCAAAAGTCTTCCCTTTAGCTCCCAAAAGAGCTAAAGCCCTGAGGTCACAAAGGCCAAATCAGCTACATGCAAACATGCTTCACAGCTGCTAAGGAGACTGCACATCAGTAGCAACTAGGAAAGGAGTAAAGGAAGGGGACAGACAGTGCAGAAGGGGGCTTTGTGGCAGCAACTCACCTGGACCCTGGCCGGTCTCAGAGATGGTGAATTTCAAAACTGTGTCCTGAGAGCTGAATAAAAGAGCAGCATCAGTGAGTGGTGGGAACCTGAGGAGAGAAGAGAACAGACTGAATGATAAATAAGTACTTTCCCATTTCTCTCCCAAACACCATAAATCACAACTATATAACATCCTGTACACTGCCCACCACCCACCGAGAGGCGCCCCCAACACCTCCTGCTGGGAACTACTGAAGGCAGTGACCCTGTGACTCAACCAAGTTCACAGGTTATAAAGTGTTGCTCTGGGCACATGACCAAAACAGGACCAAGGAAAGTTCATAGGCAAAGAGACAGAGTGGTGCCCTGGCCAGAGAGCATCTAGCAATGCGCTATACAGATAGTTCAAGAAGTAGAGTCCATAAAAAGGTACTAGACAGAAATCCAGGAGAGAAAAATTCTTTTTTGGAAGTATGAGCAGCAGAAGTACTCAATGTGAGGACAGTGTATTAGAACTAGAAGACAGGGTCGATGTTGGAGACTCAGCGACTCCTGAAACGTATCAAGGGATCATGGGAAATGAATCCAACAATGGGTAAATGACACAAAGACTAATTTAAGATTAAATGAAATTAGAGAAAAATTTTAAAAGGCCATGCTTCAGAATAGAATGTTTGCAGAAAACTCTCCAGGAATGGGGAAAAAAATTAAACATACAGGTAAGCAAGGCATATAGAACTCCACACAGCCAAGACCAAAAAAGGACTTCTTATGACACATCCTTATATAAATCCTAGAAGGCCAATAAAAGGGCAGAATCTTAAAGCCATTAAAGAAAAGTAACAAAACTTATTAAGGTAAATCCATTAGGACTTCAGCAGATGTGTCTCACCATAAATCTTAAGGGCCAGGAGTTCTTGGAGTGAAGTTCTTAAACCCTAAAAGAGAACCCATATAAATATATTCTACAGAACTATCTTACAAAATTAATGGAGAAATAAGGTCTTTACATGACAAAGAACAATTTATGAAATTCACAATCACTAAATCAACCCTTAAAAAGTTCTCAAGGATATCTGACAGAAACAATGAAGCCAACAACATCAAAAAGTCTAATAGAATGAATACATGAAGCAAGGTGTGAAGTTAACCAAAGGGAAAAAGGAAGGAATCAGCAACAGAAAAATAATGCAATGACAGGAACAGGTCAATACCTTTCAATAAATAACTCTCAATACAAATTTTTTCGGTTTTCCAATCAAAAGATAGACTGCCAGATTTGTTCAAAAAACAAAACTCATTGTTGTGCTGCACACAAGAGACATATTTAATCACCAAAAGAGGCTGTGGCCACCTCATATTGCACAGATAGGACGGAGGGAACCCCACCCTACCCACCTGGCCCTGCACTGCCTCTGCTGCATGGGAAGGACCCAAAAGATACAGTGATACACACATACCCATTTTATAGCAGCACATCACAATAGCTAACTCTCAGAAGCAGCCAATATGCCCATCAACTGACGAATCAGTAAAGAAAATGTGGTGTATATACACAATAGAATTCTACTCAGCCATAAAGAATAAGTTTGAGTCATTTGTAAGAATATGAATGCATCTTGAGACTTTAATGTTATGTGAAATAAATTAAACACACAAGCACAGACATTGCATGATGTTTTTCACATGAGAAACACAAAATACAAATGATTTTGAGAGCAAAATAAATGACATAATATGAAATAGGGAGATGGATCCTTTGCAAATAAGAAGGAGATCTAGAGATGGAGGGGGAAAGGAAGGGCATGTAAAACTACAAAGAATTAAGACATGGATAATTAAAACAATGCTGATTAGAAAAATAAAGAAAACTATCTCACAATAGTCATTTAAATAAATTAAAAACACATTACAAAAACACTGAAGTGTATGAAAGATTTTTCCGGCCTTTGTGAATACATACATGATCAAGAATTTATAGAATAAATCGTATCTCTGAATGTTTATCTAAAAAAATTTCTACATTATCATTTTAAAGGAAAACATACAACCTATTTGATAACTGTTCCATACACAGTTTTTAATTATTTCTGGTTAGCAAATCAAGGATAAAGCAAAACTCCCTGAACATATTCTACAGCAAATGCCATGCCTCATGTTAAACATTAGAAGCAACACTGCTACACAATTCTTGTAAAATTCAATGAGGACTATTATTACAATTACTAGTTAATATTTTATTGCATTATATACATTTTAAGAAAAATTTAAAGAGATGCAAATACAAAGAAAAGTGGGAGAAAAGGTGCTATTTCATGTAGCCTCCTTTACCAAGCAGCAAAAATAATTAGAAAAGACTAAGAGGAGAAGTATTCACTGCAGTAAGGAAGATTATAAAATTCCTCAAACTAAGCCTACAAAGAGAAATGTGTGAGGTCTGCTTAAAATGATTCAGTTTTACCTATAGACATGAAATAAACTTGATTAGAGAAACAAATTGCATTGTTAGTTGAGAAAACTCAATATTTTTCAAATATCAATTCAAACAAAATTTATAACTTTTCTATATTCTCAAAATCTTAACTAATTTTTAAGGAACTTGACAAGCTGATTTCTAATTTTAAAATGCTGGGGAAAATCCAGCAATATTTAGGAGAAAAAGAACTGTTTTTACTATAAAGGGGAAAGTTATCAGATAGTTGCTAAAAATGATCTGTGGGTTTTTCCCTTAAATATGTAATTATATTTAAATTCTTATGTAGAAAAGATAACAGTAGAAGAGAAGTTGAAATTGAACAAAATAGTATAATTTCCCTAAATAGCTGAGAAACAGGTTACATTCCCTAATAAAGCTATAACTAAACAAACACATACTGAACAGCATTACTTCAGAATATGCAAAACAGAATTCTTGCTCAGGGTGGCCCTATAAAAAAAGAGTTTTAAGTCCTATCTTTAAGCTCTTCCACACTCTTATCAATAGGACCAAAATGGCATCATAAAGGGAAAATAAAATCAATTGAAAGGACCAGGTGTATATTGAAAATATACTGAAAAAATGAAATGAATATAAGATTGATTTTTAAAAGGGAACACCAAACTGTAATGCCCTGTAAGAGAGGAAAACCTAAACATAAGAGCAAAGTAATGCCAAGGTAATTCCTCATTAATTAAATTTAATTCCTTAATATCTTCACATGCCTTTAGATGTTGAAGGGGTGAGACTTGGGCATTTTGCAGGAAAAGAAGCTGTCAAATCCTACTGCGACCCTTAAAAGGGAAATAATATCACTTATAAAGCATAGACTTAAGGTTATTTGAGCCAACCAAATCTGCTCTGGATACATTAAAAAACAACTAAAAATTTTGGACAAAATATATATCAAAAATTTTCTTAAGTGTCCTGAAGATCTGCCAAAATAGTAAAAAATACTCAGGCTAGAAAGTGAAGGAAAACATTGCCAGATCCTCTAAATGTCAACAGTAATTTCCAAAGCTTGCTGTGGTTTGGGAGACAGAAGGAATATAAAATACATCTAGGTGAGGATTTTAAAAGAACACTCTCCTTTGGGCTGGGACTCCAAAGACCTATACAGTTAGTTTGAGAAGTCAGGCATGACCCGCATCCCCATCTCACACATCTAGGGTATGGCTTTGACACCGAGCTAAGTAGCCACCAAACTGATAGTAAATGAATATGTGATTATAACAAGAAGGTAAAGTTACATTTATTCACACACATAGATAGGTGAATTATGTATATAGAGAAGCTACCACCTTTGGAAAGCAGTTTGGCATTGTACCACTTAGTTGCTAGCTACTCTAGGAGCAGAGATACCAGGAGTTGACATTGCTCAAAATTTTTCCAAACTGGAAATGACACTAATGTGTACTACCACAGGATGAATAATAAACGATGACATACTCACACAATAGGATGCTACACAGCGATGAAAATAAACTATTACCTCACTCAAAACAGATAAATCTTACAAATAGTGATCCAGAAAAGAATGCAATTTAATAGCATTCACATCAAAATATAAAAATCCAGCAAAAGCATATCATAACACTTTAAAAATAGTTATTAGAATAGAAAAAACAAGAACATGATTTTACACGTCAATAAATTGGTTACATCCAAGAGAGGGACACAGGCAGTGCGGACAGGTAGTGGGGAATTTCTTGTGCACTGGGTTGTAGCTAGTGATTATATATGTATTTATGTTACACATGTTCTTTACTCTTTTTTGCATGTATGACCTATTTTTCAATAAAAATTAAAAGTAAACCAAGAAAAAATAAATATTAGGAGGAGGAGAAAGAAAAGGAAGAGTGAAGAGGGGGAAGAAAAGGAGGAAAGGTGAGGGTATGTGGGTACACAGCACTCTAATTTGAATAGTCATGACAAATATGGAAATGTAGCTTTACAGCACTAAGACAATTCCTGATTTGAAGTACTAAAAGCTCCTGATTTTTCTGCTCTAAGTTTTTCAGTTTTAATTTTCCTTACATGTTTCTGAATTTTTTAAGTGGAAATGTAAAACCTGAGAAAATCTAAACTGTCTCCTACTATTAGTGTTATATGTATGTGAAAGAAACTTTCAGGGTCTTTGATGAAACCTACTTTGCTTCCTTACTAATAAAATAGAGGCATCTATCAATTAGATTTAATGAAAAAAGAGATAACTACACTATAAAAATACTCAACTATGAAAAACAATGATGTTGAGAAATCTGAGCAATGTTCTCTCTAAAAGGAAAAATCATTAGTAAATCTACAATTCACACACTCAACAAGATTGGGGGAGGTATTATGATTTATGACATTAGAACAGTTAAGAATGAGAAAAGTATAATATATGATCAGGGAATATTTTTAAATATTGAACAGGCATGATTGCTGCATTTTTTAGAAGGGGTCAGCAAGCAAGTGATTTGCCATGAGAAAAAAAATGAGATAATGAACAAAATGCATGCTGAAGAAAAATTAAACCTCTAAAGAAATGGCTCAACATAGCCCAATACAAATAAAATAGATGAAAAAAATATTAGAGATGTGGAAGAAAAATCAAGACCATGAAAAATGCATGTAAAAAGCATTTCC